GCCAACATGGTCAAGGCTATTCCCCACTTTCTCTTCCATCAGGTTCAGTGTATCTGGTTTAATGTTGAGGTCTTTGATGCACTTGGACTTGAGTTCTGTGCATGGTGATAGATATGGATCCATTTGCAATCTTCTGCATGGCGACATCTAGTTATGCCAGCACCATTTGTTGAAGATGCTTTCTTTTTTCCACGCTTTAATTTTGGCTTCTTTGTCAAAAATCAAGTGTCCATAGGTGTGTGGTTTTATGTCTGGGTCTTTGGTTCTATTCAAATCAAAGACTCATCCCTTTCTTTGATGAGAGGAGGTGAGAGGTTAAAGACTTAAGTGGTATGATACACACCTTCCTTTCTTTCAGATACTAGAGAGCTTCCCTCCCAGATCATTGTTGCTAAGCCTTGTTTACAGGCACAGCACAGGGAAAGGGAACTCTTCCAGAGAAAGATCTTCTTCAGTGGCTGTTCTTCAAATTTGGGTGACTGGAAGCCTGGGCTCCACCCAGGACAAATGCGTTGGAGTACAGTGTGATTTTTAAGGCATTTCATGGATTAGCTACTTGCTACTTCTCAATGTGCTTACCAGTGAAGCAGAGCTAACCACCAGGGGTCAGGCATGGTGGCACATTCCTGTCTGAAAGCCCAGCACCAAGGATGCTGAGGGGAAAGGACTACCAGGAGTTTGAGGCCAGCCTGGGCTACATGTATAGCAAGACTCTACCTCAAAACAAAAACTAACCTAGCAGCGTGGGAGAAGAATGCCTGAGATTGTGCAAACCATCTGAAGACGTGGGTGCTCCGTGAAAGCCAAGATGCTTGTTTCTTCAGGATTGGAAGTGGACAGTGAAGGCCCTGATTTCACCGACTGTCCATTTTCAGCCCACACCACAATTCTCCCTCTCCACACGGCTCTTCTCAACTTGTACTCAAGTATTTGGCCACAAAAAGAAAACAGCAGCATGCTCCATATTCCAGTTTCCAGAAAAAACTAAATTAGGTAAACATGTCTATTTCCAATTTTTTCTCATAAGTGTTTTTTCCTGAACTTGTGATACTTGGTGCAAGCATGGGACAAAAGTCAATAACAGGGCAATAAAAACTGACACCTAGTTTCATTTGTGATTTATATCATGGGTCTGAGATACTGAAGTGTATTGATACATTTCTAAAACAATCAAAAACAACTGTTTTTGTGAGACCCAATCACAGTTCCTTCTAGTGTGTGGACCTTAAGTGTTCTTTCGGGAAATCACATCTGGCGAGTGTGCAGAGAGACAAGTGTCACTCTGACTCAGTCCGGGCCACTTGTTTAGTGAGCCCAGGGCGAGCCCAGTTCCCTGGCTCTGCTGCTTTGTGGTAACATGAGGCTGATGATGCCAACACTTGCAGTTCTGCAAGATGCTGTTTCCAGAGTGCTCTCATGTGAGCAAACACCCTTGAAGTACACAAAAACACATGCACATAAAACATTGTTATTGTTACATTTTTATGATGGTTTTTCTAGGTGAATTTACTTAAGTCGAATGTCCCAATTAACTGGCCTATCTGTTCTATAAATCATGGCTATCTAGAAAGCACGTTGCTTTAGGTCAGTGCCGTTGGCTGTAAAATGGTGTCAACCGGTGTTTAGGGCTCTCCCCTCCCACTAAGAATCTGGAAATAGGGAACTGAGTTTTCAAAGCTCTGTAAGCTTTAACTTGGCCAGATCGGGGAACTGCTGAGCTAGGTTAAGTGAGGCTTGCCTCTGTAGCCCCTGTAAGAACTGCCAGGGTGGGGATGGGGTGGGAGGTGGGGATCCCTTCCTGGGCCCTCAGCTCTTTTGGTGGCTGTGGGCGGCAGAACCTTTGTCTTCTCTCTTTGGGATGAAGGTGTCTAAAAGGGGTTTGAACCATTAAATCGATCATGTGATTGCAGAGGTATCTCTACTATGCAGTTAGCTGCTTAATGAAATGAACCACATAAGCAGGGGAATGCTGCCTACTTCACTGTAGGAAGTCTGAAGTTTTTACATGATGGCTCCTCCCCACCCCCACCCCCTTTGGTTTGTTTTCCTAAACAGCCACCTCCTCTGGTGGTGCCCTCACCTTTGTCCTATTAGCACCTTGTCACACTTCCTAAGGGAGGCTGGGTGAGTAGGCCAGTGAGGGAGCACATCAGAACCAATGCTTCTGCAGCTGGCAGGAGAAACGAAGTCACCCAGGACCTGATGCCGTCTTTGCTTCATCATTTAAACAGGACTCTATTTTAGATAAGGGAATTTATGTTGGACGCCTGCAAAAGCTATTTGTTACCATTCATTTCTGACAGCCACGGCGCGTCTCTGCCAGGATTATGATGTAGTATTTAGTTAGTTAGCTCCTCTGCAGACAGAGTACTGCCACGGCGGGACCAACGGATGCCTTATTCCTTCTCCTTAAAACAACAAACTGTCTAAATGACAAAACATATCTCGTACCCACATGAAGTCTGCTTTCGCTAGGAGAGATCAAGATTACAACTGTCACTTGCATTCCCATCAGATGCCAAGATGAGCAATTGTGCCCTCCCATGCCAGGGCACTGTGACCAGCTGAGTTCACTTATTAGCTTTTCTTGTGGTATGGACCCATTCATTATGATTAATTTGGCTCATCTAACATGAACAGACCACCTCATCAATCAATCAAGAAAGAGAAACGTGGCACAGACTGTGGTAGATCTTACACACCGCATTTAGAAGTGAAAAATGGAACCTGAAGGCTAGGACTCAGCTAAGACAGCAAGGACACTTTGAGTCCTCTCCCTTCAGGGAGCCCTAGGGAGCTGTAGGGTCAGAATCTGAACGGCATGTATCATCTGTCTGGGGCAGCACACGCTGAGACCACTGTCACTTATCGTCTGGTAGTGGGAGAAGCCTCACAGCAGTCGCAACAGCACTGAAGCGGAAGAGCTATCTGTTGTCAGGGCGAAGGGAAATGAATGGAAATTCCCCAAAGCAGGGGCAACTTAACCTGCTATTCGGTAGTCTCTCGTGAAGGCGACTTCTTAGATAGAAAACAGGAAGTCATGAGGACATGGAGTATGGAGTCCCTGAAGATGCCTGCTATCAGCAACATGCCTCACCTCTTCACGGGGGCTATTTCACGACAGATCTGTTATCACACAGGATAGGGAATGCAAGTCCATTCTTTCTGACACATTTCCTGTCCAAGCAGTTTTCCAGAGTGGTGATACTTCAGCAAGGCAAATTTTTAGATTCACACCATCCTCCCAAGAGAAAGGACTCCGCCATGGAAAAGCCAATTAGGTGGCACCACGACCTCAAGCTTTAGACGAGATTCAATGTTACTGAGCTGATGCTGCATTTCTACTTGGTCAGTGAGGAGCTGTGTGTTTGCAGGCTTTTACAGACAGTATCATCTCAGAGGTTCACAGGATGAGGCCAGTAACCTGAGCACCCGAATGCAGCTTTCTCCTCCCACACTGGGTTTTGCTGGCATGGCTGGCAGTGCCTCTCAGGCAGGGACTTCCTAGGAACGTGCAACATCACTGCAAGCAACAGATGCTCATTATGACTGGCGTCCTTTTCGGAGGGCCCCTTCCGACCAGCCGCAGCCTGGTAGTTTGCTCTGCACTGAGAGCCTCAGTGCTGACTTGGCTTGTCTGCGTGACTGTAAACCATAAGGCTCCTGACATCAAAGAAAAGATCTGGCCATTGCTCCCTCTGTATTCCCATCACATACGGACACATCCATCTATTCAAACTGACCTGTGGACAGCTGTATAGGTCATTCCCATATGCCACCCCTGGTCTGCACCTCAGCACTAAAATCAAGTACTACTGGCATGTAAGTTCTATCCCTTTACCTGTCCCGTGTGAGAAATGTTCTCATAGTGTTCAGGTCATGACAACTGGCATCATCCAATTACCCACGCCAGGGACACCATGGAGACAGGCTGAGGTGGTGATATATTTATTGTGTGCCGCAATAAAGCTTACCTGGGATCAGAGAAGCAGAACAGCCAGCCACTAGCTTACCTCTACAAAATCCTCAGCCTCAAGAGAGTGAGCTCCTGTTTCCTCACACCTTATATATCTTTCTATGTCCTGCCATATCACTTCCTGGGATTAAAAGTGTGTGTTACCACTGCCTGGTTCTGTTTCTCTCATGTAGCCCAGTGTGGCCTTGAACTCAGAGATCCTTATGGATTTCTGCCACTTTAATCCAGTGACAGGATTAAAGGTGTGTACCACCACTGCCTGACCTCTACGTCTAATTCAGTGGCTGGCTCTGTCCTCTGATTCCTAGGTAAGCTTTATTGGGGTGCACAATATATCACCACAGGCTGACCCACATTAGATTTCAGTGTTGGCTGCCTTAGCAGGGAGGCAAAAGGTCCTATAAGTCTAAAAAGTGATGGCTCATTCTTAGTATAACTAAGCTGGTATCCTTGATCAATTGGCTTCCTTTTTACTACTAGACAGTCTGGCTGTATAGCTCTAGCTGGCCCTCGACTCAAGCCCACAGTCTTCCTCAGCTCCTCTAGCGCTGGGATTAAGGTGTCTACCAGTCTGGTCACCTACTGGTCCTCCTGAGGCTTATGGAATTACTTAAGGCTCAGTACCATCCCTATTTTACTGCTTATAACCAGCACAAATGTTGGTATGAATGGCTAACTGGAATGTAGTTTGGCTACAAAAGCTGATCCCTGATTTCAAGACAAAACTGAAATGGCACGTCAGGTTCAAGCTCAAATTAGAAGGCAAGGAGTTCTAAGAGGTGACTTGCCTGTATGCTTACAGTGCTCGGCAGCAGAGACAAGCGCTAGCCCGCCCACAGAGCAGGCCATAATGGGACTATGTACCCACCCTGTCCTCATCTTAACATACAGGTTTCTGTAACTTAGATTAAAAAAAAAATCCTCCCTTCACGTTTCTAAACTCTAAAAGAAATGACTTCTTTGATCCAACAGGGCGCAATGTGGCTCCCCCAGGCCCTATGTTTCAGAACCACACTTTAAGAGATTTTTAAATAAAAGTTGTTTATATATTTTTAAAAAACCCTTAAGATAAAGGGAAATGTGTGTAAAGAATGATGCCTACAAATGGCAAAACATTCGTTCTTTGTAAACTGTCAATTTTAAAATCCAATCTATGTGATTGGTTTATTTAATGCAGTAATTTTGCTAATCAGATTTAAGTGAGGGGTAAGTGATGCATTTGTGTCCTTTCATAAAAGCAAGAGCACAGCATCGTAACTAAGCACAGGGATTCGATTCCTGGTTCTATTACTGTTCTGGTTCATCAAAGTGCACAGAGCACAGAAAGTTCTGCCCCGCCAGTGACATCAGGCAAATGTAATAGACGGTGCGCTGGGCTGCAGCACGTTCTCATCATACAAGTCTTCTGGAAGTTCTTCTTCATCCCCATCAGGAAAGTAAGTAGGGAACGGCAGGCTCTTACAATGATCCTTATATGCAGGCAGTGTAGAGTCTTTGATCTGAGGGAATAAAGAAAAAATTCTTACTCATAATGATACTAATTAGGGTTTTTAAAGTTACCACTAAGGGGCTTAGACCTGCCTCAACTGAATGTACCAGGCTCTGCTGACTCCCCATGGGAGGCCTTACCTCGTCAGAGGAGGGAATAGGGGGTGGGTTAGGGGGAGATGATGGGAGAGGGCAGGAGGAGGGAAGAGAGGGGATCTGTGATTGGTTTGTAAAACGAATAAAACATTTCTTAGTAAAAAAACAGTTACCACTAACAAAGAATGTCTGCCCCTGTGTGCTTGAACAAGGATGCAGCCATCCCACGGAGAGGGGAGCAGTGAGTCCTGCTGCTTCTTTCTATTCTAGTAAGTGTGATTAATCATCTTTCTTCAACTGAATCAGCTACCACACAAGGATAAAACCACTAATTAACACTTTATACTTACTGTAACTTGTAAGTATGTATTTAACTGTCCAACAAGATGGATATTTTAGAATCACATCTCAATTATCCTTTATATCCACATTTATTTTTCAAATATGAAGGTCTGATACTACATACAAATTTAATACCTAATAATTATTTATTTTATTATTCATTCTTTTTGTCTGTTTTTGTTACTTTATTTTCTATACTTAGAACCAAATTTTGGAGGTGAGCTTAAAAACATGCGGAATTTACCTCATTTTTGTTAAGTGTTAACTAAGAGCACAAAAAGGAAAACATCACTTTTATTAAAGGAATTAGCTTACTTTGGCATTTTTACTGAGAAGTTAAAGACAAGGATAACATCAACAGAAAGAAAGCCATAAGCATTTACAGTAGCTCTCAGAACACTTTATGGCCTAAAATATTTCACATTATGTCTGGATTCACAGCTGATACATAGCAGAGATACTGGTATGATCTAAAATCCTCTATTTTAGTTTTGGATATTACTGAGTTTCTCAAAGCTTCTGTAGCCCTCATTTGGAGAGGGAAAATACACTATGTACACAGTAAAATAGGGCATATTCATTTTAGCAATGAGCAATGAATAATTTAGTCAAACGACAGCTGCTAGGAACAACTAAGTGTATAAAAACAGTTCTATTTTAAATCCCCTCATTACAATTGTTTCAAGAAATGATCAGGACGTTGCCCGGAGGATGCTATCATGTTCAGTTTTTTCCAATTCACCAATCTTAGATTGAGCCTTAATCAGGAAAACACTCAATAAGAAACCTATGTGCTAATTTGATAAAAAATTGTCACAAAGGGTCCAAGTAGTGAATTCTCAGTTACATTTACACTTTTACATATCTGCTGTACCTGAGCATTTCCAATAACAAAAGCATTGATGATGTTTCCAGTGTGAGTGAATATATAATGCAACAGTTAAACTGAGATTTTTGTTGGTTTTTGTTGAAAATCAATGACCACGTTCTATGGAGCTGGAGTCATTTTAACCACGAACCTTCTCACACTCAGAAACTGTAGCTTCACCATGGCTCAGAGTCAGCTTCTACCCTGCATCAGCACGGCTCAGCAGAGTCAGCTTCTACCCTGCATCAGCA